ACGCAACACTTCATATAACGTGTTGGTCTCTAATGTTTCAGCTCCAGTTGTGACACATCACTTCATATTAGTTGGCCTTTAAGGTTTCAGGTCCAGTTGTGAGCACCACTTAATATAATGAGTTGGCCTTTAATGTTTCAGGTCCAGTTGTGACACAACACTTCATATTAGTTGGCCTCTAAGGTTTCAGGTCCAGTTGTGAGCACCACTTAATATAATGAGTTGGCCTTTAATTTTTCAGGTCCAGTTGTGACGCAACACTTCATATAAGTTGGTCTCTTATGTTTCAGCTCCAGTTGTGATGCAACACTTCATATAATGAGTTGGTTTTTAATGTTTCAGCTCCAGTTGTGACGCAACACTTCATATAACGTGTTGGTCTCTAATGTTTCAGGTCCAGTTGTGACACATCACTTCATATTAGTTGGCCTTTAAGGTTTCAGGTCCAGTTGTGAGCACCACTTAATATAATGAGTTGGCCTTTAATTTTTCAGGTCCAGTTGTGACACAACACTTCATATAAGTTGGTCTCTTATGTTTCAGCTCCAGTTGTGAGCAACACTTCATATAATGAGTTGGTTTTTAATGTTTCAGCTCCAGTTGTGACGCAACACTTCATATAACGTGTTGGTCTCTAATGTTTCAGGTCCAGTTGTGACACATCACTTCATATTAGTTGGCCTTTAAGGTTTCAGGTCCAGTTGTGAGCACCACTTCATATAATGAGTTGGTCTCTAATGTTTCAGGTCCAGTTGTAAGAACCACTTAGTATAATGAGTTGGTCTCTAATGTTTCAGGTCCAGTTGTGACGCAACACTTTATATAAGTTGGTCTCTAATGTTTCAGGTCCAGTTGTGAGCACCACTTGATATAATGAGTTGGTCTCTAATGTTTCAGTTCCAGTTGTGACGCACCACCTCGTATTATTTGGTCTCTTATGTTTCAGCTCGGGTTGTGACACGCCACTTCATACAATGACTTGTTCTCATATGTTTCAGCTCCAGTTGTGATGCAACACTTCATATAATGAGTTGGTCTCTAATGTTTCAGGTCTAGTTGTGGAGCACCACTTCATAACACCCGTGAAGATTCGGGCTAGAATAGGTCTTCAGCAACCCATACATGCCACAAAAGGCGACTATGCTTGTCGTAAGAGGCGACTAACGGGATCGAGTGGTCAGGCTCGCTGACTTAGTTGATGCATGTCATCGATCCCAATTGTGCAGATCGATGGTCATGGTGTCATATGAATCACTGGATTGTCTGGTCCGGACTCGATTATTTACAAACCTCCGTCATATAGCTGGAACATTTCTGAGTGTGCCGTTAAACAACAAACAAACAAACACTTCATATAATGTTTTGGTCTCTAATGTTACAGCTCTGATTGTGAAAAAGCCACTTCATATAATGAGTTGGTCTCTAATGTTTCAACTGTCCGTGGTCACGTGGACTCCATTGTGAGAAAGCCATGTTATGCTGGACTTTCCCTTTGAAGAATGTGGTCAGTAGCTATAGGGGTGTATTTTGCTGGTCCGAATGTTTCGAGTAGTGGAGAAAGGCAAATGTAGTATCAGCTGAGGTCCTCTGGAAGTCTGATCTCTGGAGCCCATAAGTGATAGATATTAAAAAGCTCCCCGCTCAAGTTTTGCTACACACTATCTCCGTTTTGCCATTATTTAGCACAATGGTCAGTACAAAGATTTTTTGTTATGGACCTCTGTTGTGCATACCCGTTCCGGCAATTACATTTTGTAGAGGTTTATATCGATTTGCGTATCACTACCAAAGAATCATTGAGAAAACAAAATCAAGACTCTTTTTTTAAATGTACCACCTCCTATAACGATGGTTCACAATCCAATTTTAATGAGATGGTGTTTCAATGCTTCAGTTCCAGTTGTGACGTACCACTTCATATGACTTGGTCTCCAATGTATCAGTTCCAGTTGTGATGCGTCACTTCATATAATGAGTTGGTCTCTAACGCATTAGCTCCAGTTGTGGCGCACCACTTCATATGGGTCTGTAATATTGACTTGGTTCATGTCTGTCTGGTACCCTTTCCCCAATTGCGTGGATCGATGCTCATGATGTCAATCACTGGATTGTCTGGTCCAGACACGATTATTTACAGACCGCCGCCATATAGCTGGAATATTGCTGAGTGCGGCGTAAAACAACAAACCAACCAACCAACCTGATTTGCGACATGTGCGCTACCTAGAGGTTCGCGTGCTTGTGGACGATAACAATATAAACATAACAAAACCATGTACTACTACTGGTGATGCCAATACAAGAATATATTCAAAGAGGAAAAACTCTACATGGTATAAATGCATAATACCTGAACAAAGATAACATATTATGTCGACTGTCGGTTACCTCAAACAATTTTCAGAACCAGTTACTCATAGCACTGGAATGGGATGAGCTTCTTATGTAAGTAACGTTAATGTCTGAAATGCTATATAACAAGACAAATGTGATGGAGCATTGAAAACTACATGTCCGTTAAGAATATGATAGGACAGGGGATAAATGAGAGAAATATTAAACAAATTGGATTAAATGGCCACATATAACCTGGAAGTATTTAAAAGGTGGTACTTGTTACCGTATTCGACGTAATAAGCGCCCCGCTCAAATAAGCACCCACGGCGATATTTTCTAATATATTGGCTAGTGAACAATACCAATTAGCACCCCTTCCGATTGCTCAATGTACACAACACTTATTTATTCGCGTATAATACAGCCCATCAGATTAATGTGGTTGGAAAGTATTGTGAAAACCATTCATGCACTTTGGTGAGTGAGTGAGTTGGATTTAACACCGCTTTTAACAGTATACCAATTATATCACGGCGTGTCAGCTTAATGTGGGAGGAAAGCCCGAAGTGATGCAGGTATCAGACCTTTACCACTTCGGTGAAACCCACAAGCACGGGTATGGTGCTGACAAACCTAGAAACATAATCGGGGCGAACAGGGATTCGAACCCACAATCATAGGTTTCTGACGTGCCCAAGGGACGCAACTCTGCACAGCGAATTGCGGCGCCTTAGACGACTGGGAAATGTCTATATATGACATCAATCTCAATTAAATAAAAGTAAAAAAAACAACGTGTGTTCCCCCAGAAGATCGGAAGCACGTGTCCAGATCATATGAGGCAAAAAATAGTATGAGGATAAAAAAAACAAACTATTGCCATACAAAACATGTCATCGGGCCTTCTCGATTTTTGTTCCCTATCCCCGAAATGAGTATGTTTCGTCAGCATATAACTGCAGGATACGATTTCTTTAAATGGCTACAGTATATGTATCGATATTCCGTTAACATTAGCACTTTAAATTCGATGTACATTGCATGACATAAAGATTCGTAATGGAAACGTGACTTATACGCTCTACTAGGACAAGTCCAAACCAGCTGCACGCAAAAAGTATATACCTGATTAAATACGATGTTTGTTTGTTCACGTAATCATTGAGACCTATGTCTATTCACATGGTATACGTATGTTAGTGAAACGTGGGTTGCTCAGGAGCACCAGCCCAGGTGTAAAGGTGCTTCTGTCTGGTGGAGGCCTGATGCCAATAACATCACGTACTAGTTGTTTTAGTTGTCTGCTGTCTTCGTGCAGAGGCTGGATGAAGAAACAGAGGCTAGATGAGAAAACAGAGGCTAGATGAAGAAACAGAGGCTGGATGAGGAAACAGAGGCTGGATGAAGAAACAGAGGCTGGATGAGGAAACAGAGGCTGGATGAAGAAACAGAGGCTAGATGAAGAAACAGGTTGGATGAAGAAACAGGCTAGATGAGGAAACAGGCTGGATGAAGAAACAGAGGCTGGATGAAGAAACAGAGGCTGGATGAAGAAACAGAGCCTGGATGAGGAAACAGAGGCTGGATGAAGAAACAGAGGCTGGATGAAGAAACAGAGGCTGGATGAATAAACAGGGCCTGGATGAGGAAACAGAGGCTAGAAGAAGAAACAAAGGCTGGATGAGAAAACAGAGGCTGGATGAGGAAACAGAGGCTGGATGAAGAAACATAGGCTAGATGAGGAAACAGAGGCTGATGAAGAAACAGAGGCTGGATGAGGAAACAGGCTGGATGAAGAAACAGAGGCTGGATGAAGAAACAGAGGTTAGATGAGGAAACAGGCTGGATGAAGAAACAGAGGCTGGATGAGGAAACAGAGGCTGGATGAAGAAACAGAGACTGGATAATGAAACAGAGGTTGGAAGAGGAAACAGGCTGGATGAAGAAACAGAGGCTGGATGTCCTAACAGAGGCTGGATGAAGAAACAGAGGCTGGATGAAGAAACAGAGGATGGATGAGGAAACAGAGACTGGATGAGGCAACAGGCTGGATGAAGACGCAGAGGCTGGATGAATAAACATAGACTGGATACTGAAACAGAGGCTGGATGAGGAAACAGAGGCTGGATGAAGAAACAGGCTGGATGAGGAAACAGAGGCTGGATGAAGAAACAGAGGCTGGATGAGGAAACAGGCTGGATGAGGAAACAGAGGTTGGATGAGGAAACAGAGGCTGGATAATAAAACAGAGGCTGGATGAGGAAACAGGCTGGATGAGGAAACAGAGGCTGGGTGAGGAAACAGGCTGGATAATGAAACAGGCTGGACGAGGAAACAGAGGCTGGATGAGGAAACAGGCTGGATGAGGAAACAGGCTGGATGAGGAAACAGGCTGGATGAGGAAACAGGCTGGATGAAGAAACAGGCTGGATGAGGAAACAGAGGCTGGATGAGGAAACAGAGGCTGGATGGGGAAACAGGCTGGATAATGAAACAGGCTGGACGAGGAAACAGAGGCTGGATGAGGAAACAGGCTGGATGAGGAAACAGGCTGGATGAAGAAACAGGCTGGATGAGGAAACAGGCTGGATGAGGAAACAGAGGCTGGATGAGGAAACAGGCTGGATAATGAAACAGAAGCTGATGAGGAAACAGGCTGGATAATGAAACAGAGGCTGGATGAGGAAACAGGCTGGATGAGGAAACAGAGGCTGGATAAGGAAACAGAGGCCGGGTGAGGAAACAGAGTCTGGATAATGAAACAGAGGCTGGATGAATATACAGAGGCTGGATAATGAAACAGAGGATGGATGAAGAAACAGAGGCTGGCTAAGGAAACAGGCTGGACGAGGAAACAGAGGCTGGATGAAGAAACAGAGGCTGGATGAAGAAACAGGCTGGATGAAGAAACAGAGGCTGGATGAGGAAACAGAGACTGGATGAAGAAACAGAGGCCGGATAATGAAACAGACGCTGTTTACATATAACCGTTTACATAATATGAATCGATAATGCAAGTCAGTGCTGGTCAAGCCATTTCGACATCTCACTTCTGAGTTCATAATTGGACTCGTGACCGTCATGAGAAACACAGTGTTCTTGTACAAATTCTTCTTGGGAATTTTATAAAAATTAAGATTGTTATATATGTAGATATACATGGGCATTTAGGGTATAAGAAAATATACAAGGGGTATTGGTATACAGTTTTACTGACATGGCAATCATGTGTTTAGGAAGAAGCCGTAAAATCATCAAATGTCGCTCTGTAGGTATCAACCCATCTGCCCATGGGGATGGCAGGATAAGCCTGTTTGCTCGAAGCAGCCAGACGGCACCACGTTATATCACGGCGTGGTCAAGTTTGTGTGTGAGGAACATGTACAGGCCTTAGACGTTTACATCAGCGCTGACAAACCTGTGATTAGAGTCCACGATGACGCACAGCGGCACCTTAGACAACGTGAAAGAGAGTGAAAGAGTTTATTTTCCCTTCCCATATCTATCTAGTTCGGAGTTTTATTATTCTGAGAATTGTGAGTGAGTGTGTGAGTTGGGTTTAACGCCGCTTTTAACAGTATTCCGGTTATGTCAAAGCGTTTCAGCTTAATGTGGGAGGAAAGCCCGAAGTGATGCAGGTCTCAGACGTTTACCACTTCGGTGAAACCCACGAGCACAGGTATGGTGCTGACAAACCTAGAAACATAATCGGAGCGAACCGGGACTCGAACCCACAATCATAGGTTTCTGGCGCCCACCCTATCCTCATTTTAATCAACTCGTACGACAAGCAGGAGGTGCTGTGTTTGTTCTAGTCCGGACTAATTCCGGTTTATAGCCCAATGACATACTATGCCACAGTTTAACATGGACCCCCAACTCAGACCCGTCCTTGTTTTAGCCCCTTAATGCCGAGCGCCATGCAGGCAGGGTAACAACACGTATCATATTTTAACGTCCTTGGTATGACGTTAAATGACTGATTTCAATTAAACTTTGTACACGTGTCCACTTCAACACGCAGTTGGGCACATTGCAATTGTTTGTTTTTCATTTCGGCGGAGTTATTGCCTTTTATTACTTCGCCATTTCAATTTGTCTCGACAACTTCTAAACTACTACATCGATTTCTTTCAGATATGTACGTAGGCGTAGCTACGGAAACCGACGCCATGCCTTCATTTCCATTACAAATGTGGCACCATGGCAACGGAACTTTGTTCGTAATTTAGAAATTGTCCGATTTCGTTCAAATTTTGTATGTTGACATGTTATAATGTGACTCCAAACTCAACCACAGGTTTTGTTTTTTACCGTGTCAATGGAAAGCAGTCCTAATGATTGCTCCTTTAAATACTTTACCCTATTTCGTATAATCTTAAAAAACAGAGGTTGCGTCCAATATGATTGCAGAGGAACGTTTGGAATCTCATACGTCTGCGAGTAGGTATTTAATTCAGCATAGGACAGTTCTAGTTAGCTTAATATTTATCCCTACGTGCAAAATTGCCGAATGGATAATGTGACGTAATGCTACCCGTCCTCACGGCGTGCTTCATTTGTACAACAGTGGGGTCATAAACCCTTTTATAAAACCTGCATATAGCAACCAGGTGGTCGTTGTAGAGAGGGAATCTAAAAATCATTTGTACATCTAGACAAAGTAAGGATCGAATAAATCTGCGAAGTTTCATGAATTTTCGGTAAGTATATTTCATAGTGATAACCCTTAATGTAATAAATAGTATCTGTCACTTCAACCCTTGATTATTTTGTTAACATTAAGAGTATTTTTTACATTAAGAGTTGTAACAAGGGTTAACCCCAACTCCTAATGTAAATTATTTTACATCAAGAGTAATTTTTACATTAAGGGTTGTAACACTTGTCCTTTCATTATGGCCAAAGTCTGTTTAACCGGGGGCACGGGTGTCCCAGTCGTCTAAGGCACCGCGATTCGCCGTGCAGAGTTGCGTCCCTTGGGCACGCCAGAAACCTATGATTGTGGGTTCGAATCCCGATTCGCCCCGATTATGTTTCTAGGTTTGTCAGCACCATACCCGTGCTCGTGGGTTGCACCGAAGTGGTAAAGGTCTGATACCTGCATCACTTCGGGCTTTCCTCCCACATTCATCTGACACGCCGCGATATAACTGGTATACTGTTAAAAGCGGCGTTAAACCCAACTCACTCACTTACACTGTTTTACCGGTTTGCTGTCACAAACACGTGAATGAAGCCGAGGAGAACGTAACCTGTTACATCCCCGTCTGGTGCTAATGAATCAAATGCCGCGAAATCGCGTCCGCAACGTGACATGACGTTAATTTCAGGAACATCACGTTTGACCTGACCTCAAAGGAGTAGCCGGCACGACAGCGGACCTCTTACTGCATCGTAAATCGTATGTTGTGTCTACGAGAATCTGCAGAGCAAACATTGGCTTCACCTAGGTAAATACACGAACAGTCTAATCAGTGGCCTGAAACTCACTGGTCTTTCACTGAGGTAAATGGTCTTGTTAAAAGATACGTTATTTTTATAAAAAAGGTATTGTTCTGAATTAAAGGCAGTTATTTACTTTGTAGGTGGCATAAGTGACACTTCAACTCAAACTGGGAAGGTTATCAGATTTCTGTACTCGAGGGCAGGTGTTAACAGTAAGCTTCTTGACGCAGCCTTTGTAAAAACTTGTATTTCTGGAGATCTAATGGTTATAAGTATTATATTAAGATATTAAGACAGTTTCACTCGTATACTCATCATCTTAAACTGTCTTTCCCCTCAACGCTATAATCTCCCGAACACAATATGCTATCATCAAATTAGTTTGTTATTTAACGCAAGCCATATCAGGGCTCCCGGCAGTCGAGTCTGGATCAGAGAAATTTACGTCTCACAAACTCCAGCCAAGTGAAACCTGGCCCCTATTTGACCAATTGACCGAGACAGACACCCCACCGCTATATCAGTTGACCGAGCCGAACACCCGACCCCTACATCAGTTGACCGAGCCGAACACCCCACAACTATATCAGTTGACCGAGCCAAACACCCGACCCCTACATCAGTTGACCGAGCCGAACACCCGACCCCTACATCAGTTGACCGAGCCGAACACCCGACCCCTACATCAGTTGACCGAGCCGAACACCCGACCCCTACATCAGTTGACCGAGCCGAACACCCGACCCCTACATCAGTTGATCGAGCCAATCACCCCACCGCTATATCAGTTGACCGAGCCGAACACCCGACCCCTACATCAGTTGACCGAGCCGAACACCCGACCCCTACATCAGTTGACCGAGCCGAACACCCGACCCCTACATCAGTTGACCGAGCCAAACACCCGACCCCTACATCAGTTCACCGAGCCGAACACCCCACCCCTACATCAGTTGACCGAGCCGAACACCCGACCCCTACATCAGTTGACCGAGCCGAACACCCCACCCCTACATCAGTTGACCGAGCCGAACACCCGACCCCTACATCAGTTGACCGAGCCGAACACCCCACCCCTACATCAGTTGACCGAGCCGAACACCCCACCCCTACATCAGTTGACCGAGCCGAACACCCCACCCCTACATCAGTTGACCGAGCCGAACACCCCACCCCTACATCAGTTGACCGAGCCGAACACCCGACCCCTACATCAGTTGACCGAGCCGAACACCCCACCCCTACATCAGTTGACCGAGCCGAACACCCCACCCCTACATCAGTTGACCGAGCCGAACACCCGACCCCTACATCAGTTGACCGAGCCAATCACCCCACCACTATATCAGTTGACCGAGCCGAACACCCGACCCCTACATCAGTTGACCGAGCCAATCACCCCACCACTATATCAGTTGACCGAGCCGAACACCCGACCCCTACATCAGTTGACCGAGCCGAACACCCGACCCCTACATCAGTTGACCGAGCCGAACACCCGACCCCTACATCAGTTGACCGAGCCGAACACCCGACCCCTACATCAGTTGACCGAGCCAACCACCCCACCGCTATATCAGTTGACCGAGCCGAACACCCGACCCCTACATCAGTTGACCGAGCCGAACACCCGACCCCTACATCAGTTGACCGAGCCAACCACCCCACCGCTATATCAGTTGACCGAGCCGAACACCCGACCCCTACATCAGTTGACCGAGACAGACACCCCACCCCTACATCAGTTGACCGAGCCGAACACCCCACCCCTACATCAGTTGACCGAGCCGAACACCCGACCCCTACATCAGTTGACCGAGCCGAACACCCGACCCCTACATCAGTTGATCGAGCCAATCACCCCACCGCTATATCAGTTGACCGAGCCGAACACCCGACCCCTACATCAGTTGACCGAGCCGAACACCCGACCCCTACATCAGTTGACCGAGCCGAACACCCGACCCCTACATCAGTTCACCGAGCCAAACACCCGACCCTTATATCAGTTCACCGAGCCAAACACCCGACCCTTATATCAGTTCACCGAGCCAAACACCCGACCCTTATATCAGTTGACCGAGCCGAACACCCGACCCCTACATCAGTTCACCGAGCCAAACACCCGACCCTTATATCAGTTCACCGAGCCAAACACCCGACCCCTACATCAGTTCACCGAGCCAAACACCCGACCCTTATATCAGTTCACCGAGCCAAACACCCGACCCCTATATCAGTTCACCGAGCCAAACACCCGACCCTTATATCAGTTGACCGAGCCGAACACCCGACCCCTACATCAGTTCACCGAGCCAAACACCCGACCCTTATATCAGTTCACCGAGCCAAACACCCGACCCTTATATCAGTTCACCGAGCCAAACACCCCACCCCTATATCAGTTCACCGAGCCGAACACCCGACCCCTACATCAGTTGACCGAGCCGAACACCCGACCCCTACATCAGTTGACCGAGCAAGACACCCGACCCCAATATCAGTTGACCGAGCAAGACACCAAACCCCTACATCAGTTGACCGAGCCGAACACCCGACCTCTATATCAGTTGACCGACCCGAACACCCGACCCCTATATCAGTTGACCGAGCCGAACACCCGACCTCTATATCAGTTGACCGAGACGAACACCCGACCCCTATATCAGTTGACCGAGCCAAACAGCCCACCGCTATATCAGTTAACCAAGCCAAACACCCCACCGCTATATCAGTTGACCGAGCCAAACACCCCACCGCTATATCAGTTGACCGAGCCAAACACCCAACCGCTATATCAGTTGACCGAGCCAATTATCCAACACCTCTATCAGTTGACCGAGCCAAACACCCCTATATCAGTTGGCCGAGCCAAACACCCCTACATCAGTTGACAGATCCAAACACCCCTACATCAGTTGACCGACCAGGCACCCCTATATCAGTTGACCGTGCCAGACATCCACCCCTACATCAGTCGACCGTGCCAGGCACCCCTATATCAGTTGACCGAGCCAGACACCCCACCCCTATATCAGTTGACCGAGCCAGACACCCCACCCCTACATCAGTTGATCGAGCCAGACATCCCTATATCAGTTGACCGAGCCAGACACCCCTACATCAGTTGACAGAGACCCCTATATCAGTTGACAGAGCCAGACACCCCTACATCAGTTGACAGAGACCCCTACATCAGTTGACCGAGCCAGACACCCCTATATCAGTTGACCGAGCCAGACACCCCTACATCAGTTGACCGTGTCAGACACCCCTACATCAGTTGACCGAGCTACACACCCCTACATCAGTTGACCAAGCCAGACAACCCTATATCAGTTGACCAAGCCAGACACCCCTACATCAGTTGACCGAGCCAGACATTCCTACATCAGTTGACCGAGCCAGACAACCCTATATCAGTTGACAGAGACCCCTATATCAGTTGACAGAGCCAGACACCCCTACATCAGTTGACAGAGACCCCTACATCAGTTGACCGAGCCAGACAACCCTATATCAGTTGACCAAGCCAGACACCCCTACATCAGTTGACCGAGCCAGACAACCCTATATCAGTTGACCGAGCCAGACAACCCTACATCAGTTGACAGAGACCCCTACATCAGTTGACCAAGCCAGAGACCCCTATATCAGTTGACCGAGCCAGAGACCCCTATATCAGTTGACCGAGCCAGACACCCCTATATCAGTTGACCGAGCCAGAGACCCCTATATCAGTTGACCGAGCCAGACACCCCTATATCAGTTGACCGAGCCAGACATTCCTACATCAGTTGACAGAGACCCCTACATCAGTTGACCGAGCCAGACACCCCTATATCAGTTGACCGAGCCAGACACCCCTACATCAGTTGACCGTGTCAGACACCCCTACATCAGTTGACCGAGCCAGACAACCCTATATCAGTTGACCAAGCCAGACACCCCTACATCAGTTGACCGAGCCAGACACCCCTTTATCAGTTGACCGAGCTACACACCCCTATATCAGTTGACCGAGCCAGACACCCCTACATCAGTTGACCGAGCCAGACACCCCTATATCAGTTGACCGAGCCAGACATTCCTATATCAGTTGACCGAGTCAGACACCCCTATATCAGTTGACCGAGCCAGACACCCCTATGTCAGTTGACTGAGCGAGACATCCCTACATCAGTTGACCGAGCCAGACACCCCTATATCAGTTGGCCGAGCTACACACCCCTATATCAGTTGACCGAGCCAAACACCCCGTCATCAGTTGACAGAGACAGACACCTCTATATCAGTTGACCCTAGACACCCCACCCAATATCAGTTCACCGAGCCAGACAACCCTTCTCCCCCCCCCCCCCCCCCCCCCCCCCCTCCATTGACAGCCTTATATCAGTTGACCGAGCAAATTTTCATGCCTTTTACATTTCAGGTAGAACGGCTACATTCACTTTACCCTGTTCAAATGACGCGAAACTGAATTCGGGTTACAAATGCTTCTTTGTTGAAGGCGGGTTCTCATTACCTTTGGGTGAAGTGAGAACCTATAGCTGACACCTTGGAGAAACAGCTTGTTTGCTGGTGGCTCATTATAACATTGACAGAGGTGACACTCCATGCTCGCCATGATACAGTGGTGTAGGGACGGGGTAGACCCACGCTTTACAACCTACGGCAACGACACTGAAGATGGGAAACAATTTCTGTGATGGAGTACTGGGACGGTAAATTATGGGAAGTATACTGGGATGGAGAAGAACGTGGACAGGGCGTGTATCTACCAATATCACACTGACACGAGTTCCCTCTGCAACAAAGAGAACGAATGACTATGGGAGCGTATTAGTGCCACAGTCTAAAACAAGTATCACCAACGTAGATGAAAGTATGATACTATAATCTACGTAGATAATACTTACGTCTACGTAGATGATACTATAATCTACGTAGATGATACTATAATCTACGTAGATGATACTTTACACTACGTAGATGGTACTATAATCTACGTAGATGATACTTTACACTACGTAGATGATACTATAATCTACGTAGATAATACTTACGTCTACGTAGATGATACTATAAACTGCGTAGATGATACTATAATCTACGTAGAAGATACTTTCATCTACTTACATAATATAATAATCTGCGTAGAAGAAAGGATCATCTACTGTCAAAATATCGACTTAGGTAACATCAGTTGACCGAGCCGAACACCCGACCCCTTCATCAGTTGACCGAGCCGAACACCCGACCCCTATATGACTTGACCAAGCCAACCACCCCACCGCTATATCAGTTGACCGAGCCGAACACCCCTACATCAGTTGACCGAGCCAACCACCCCACCGCTATATCAGTTGACCGAGCCGAACACCCCTACATCAGTTGACCGAGCCAACCACCCCACCGCTATATCAGTTGACCGAGCCGAACACCCCTACATCAGTTGACCGAGCCAACCACCCCACCCCTATATCAGCTGACCGAGCCAAACACCCCACCCCTACATCAGTTGACCAAGCCAAACACCCCAACCCTACATCAGTTGACCGAGCCGAACACCCGACCCCTTCATAAGTTGACCTAGCCGAACACCCGACCCCTTCATCAGTTGACCGAGCCGAACACCCGACCCCTTCATCAGTTGACCGAGCCAAACACCCCACCCCTACATCAGTTGACCGAGCCGAACACCCGACCCCTTCATCAGTTGACCGAGCCGAACACCCGACCCCTTCATCAGTTGACCGAGCCAAACACCCCACCCCTACATCAGTTGACCGAGCCGAACACCCGACCCCTACATCAGTTGACCGAGCCGAACACCCGACCCCTTCATCAGTTGACCAAGCCGAACACCCCACCCCTATATCAGTTGACCGAGCCAAACACCCGACCCCTTCATCAGTTGACCGAGCCAAACACCCCACCCCTACATCAGTTGACCGAGCCGAACACCAGACCCCTTCATCAGTTGACCGAGCCAAACACCCGACCCCTATATCAGCTGACCGAGCCAAACACCCCACCCCTATATCAGTTGACCGAGCCAAATACCCGACCCCTACATCAGCTGACCGAGCCGAACACCCGACCCCTTCATCAGTTGACCGAGCCGAACACCCGCACCCTTCATCAGTTGACCGACCGAACACCCCACCCCTATATCAGCTGACCAAGCAAAACATCCCTACATCAGTTGACTGAGCCAAACACCCCACCCCTATATCAGTTGACCGAGCCGAACACCCCACCCCTATATCAGCTGACCAAGCAAAACATCCCTACATCAGTTGACCGAGCCGAACACCCGGCCCCTTCATCAGTTGACCGAGCCAAACACCCTACCTACAATTCTGCAGTTTGTGTTTTTATTTCAGCTCTAATAGTTTGATAATTTGAAATGATCTCAGTATGTTGTGAAAACACGGAAAAGGTCAAATGAAAATAAACAACCAGCATGCTTCCAAACATTTAATTAAATTAACAGTAATTAAGTAATCACCTTTATATAAAATATAAATGTTTGTCTGAACTAGTATCAAACTAGGGTCGCAACTTTACAAGACAATATCACACTCTCGGTTTATACTGAAATGTTGCCATGTCACTACTCCATGGCTTGTGTTTTGTAGATAACACAATGTCTGCGGTATATTATCAGAATGTAAATCTGCTATAAACATGCAACACACACGCATTACTGCTTCTACACAAACTGTATCCCACGTCATCAAAGGACAATCTCAAAGTCAACAAAAGTAGCCTGATAACTTCAGCTCTATGTTTCAGGTGTACACACAGTAGAGTCACGCGATACAGCCATGGGCACTGGGGGCATAGTCTAATTTAAATGGGGTTACGAATTGAATGCATGGCAAATTTACATATATATTCATACCATGTTACAGTCACCTGTGCATGCTTTGGTTGGGTACCTAACTTGAGATGTTTACATTTATTAATATCTGCAATCCAGAGCCGTGTTGCCGGTTTATGTTCTTGTTTAACAGATTTGCTTACACAGTGTGACACTACAAAAATATACAAACGATGATTTGATGTAAAATTCCTAAAAAACCCGCACACACTTGACAAAAGATTTTAATCGAAAATACAAACAAGAACATGTTCATTATTTTTAAAACAGTATCAGAAAATGAAGATAATAAATTGGCCTGGGCGACAAGAAAAACATAGAAAAAGCCAAACATACACCTGAAAAAGGAAGGTACAGATAACACATGGCATGTTTAATACACGCTCGAAAGGCCCCTTTCAGTCATAAGCACATTATACGTACACAGGCCTAGTGCACCAGACTGCGGTGTACCGAGACTTGTAACACGGCCTAGCTAGCTTTCATTCAGACAGTGAGCTGGGTTGCTTTGTGATAAATGAGGACACAATCGCGTCTCTAGGAGATGTGGAGAAATAGAATGGCCGACACACTTCGATGGGTTCTAAAAATTGTGCACACAGGACGACCCACCAGAGCACTATGGTAGACAACCTCAAAGACGCCACACATGTTAAGTGATATAAAGGCACATTGATTAACGCGTCTTTCCGCTTACTCACCGAACCGATGCATCTAAACTAATTGTATATGCACAGTCACGACGTTGGATAAACATGACCCTGGACGGTTTTCACAAACAAGTGAGTGAGTGAGTGAGTTGGGTTTAACGCCGCTTTTAACAATATTCCATTTATATCACGGCGTGTCAGCTTGATGTGGGGAGAAAGCTCGAAGTGATACAGGTCTCAGACGTTTACCACTTCGGTGAAACCCACGACCACGGGTATGGTGCTGACGAACCTAGAAACATAATTTCACAAACGAGATCTGAGCACTTAGACTATCGTAACTCCTTGATCTTTAACAGTAACAAACTAATTCCATCGATTAGCGGGTCCAATTCTACAAAGCATCAGGCCTGCCGCAACTTCAATTTTTAACATTTTGTAAAATGGGCCCCCAACACCTTATTGCTGTCGATGGTAAAGGTTCTTTGTTTTTGGTTTCATCGTGTTCCGATGCTGGTCCGCTCAGTAACTGGTTTGTCTAGTTCAGATTCGTTTGTTTACATATCGCCAGACCCGTGAAGATTCCAGGGTAGAATAGGTCTTCAGCAACCCATGCTTTCCGTAAAAGGCGACTATGCTTGTCGTAAAAGGCGACTAACAGGATCGGGTGGTCAGGCTCGCTGAATTGGTTGATGCATGTCATCGATCCCAATGGCGTGGATCGATGCTCATGACATTAATCACTGGATTGTCTGGTCGAGACTCGATTATTTACAGACCGCCGTCATATAGCTGTAATATTGCTGAGTGCGACGTTCAACAACAAACCAACCAAACCAACCAACATACCGCCATGATATGGCTGGATTAATAACGACGGCGATGTTCAACAACACCGCCTCCGTGGTCTAGTGGTAGAGCGTCCGCCCCGAAAGCGGAAGGTCGGGGGTTCGATCCCTGGTCGCGTCATACCAAAAGACGTTAAAGATGGAACTTGGTGTTACCCTGCCTGGTACTAGGCATTAAAGGGGTTACACAAGGACGGAGTCAGTATGCTGTGTCTAAATGAGGAATTTATGTTTAACTGCTGACACGGAATAGTCTGGACTAGTACACGCAGCCACACACACACACACACACACACACACACACACACACACACACACACACACACACACACACACACACACACACACACATTGCTTAATAATTATAGTGCAATAATCTTGGACGCGACTTTAAAACCCATTTAACCTCACCTTCACCACCAAACAACATTCGTTCATTCTTTAACACGTATGGACGTATGGATGTGGTCGGGTTGTGAAACCGGTTCCCGGTCCAGTGGTGTGTGCAGATCGACACGTCTGCTATGAGCAGGAGACACGTAATACTCACAACCGTGGGAGTAAAATGCCGACTGTATGCAGGTGACGTCACCTAAAAATATACCGACTATGTTTTAGCATGTAGCACGTACTAAGACGTGATTCGTGCATGTATTTGTCACGTTTACTCGCGTAACAGAGAGGCCTCAGATTACGATTCCTCAGCACCGGCACGGCCAGGCTGAAATAGTGACGATGTGACGTTAAATTTTAACTCACTCAGCCCGAATTGTAGGAGCGTTACGCACAGTAAACTACGGTTATAACGAACTCAAAGGGACCACTAATTTTAGTTCGTTATAACAGTAGTTCGTTATAAACATATATACAGCATGTATACAGCAAATGGCCGGGACTAAAAATAAGTTCGTTATATCCATCAGTTCGTTATAAGCATCATCGTTATAAACGTAGTTTACTGTATATCGAGGAGGCGCTTTGTGTAATGCTTACGTAATAGAAGCTAAATATATATATTATACAATATATTGTACATTATGTATACGCATTTGATTATTTGAGGGCTATCGATGTACATTGTAAATTAATCACAATACGATGATGCCTACGCTGCTAATATACACCTTCTATATTTCATGTCTACTGTTATTTCTCATTTTGTTCTCTCACCTGCCCCTTATCTGGCCTCATTATTTCTGACCCATGGACATGTTAAGCAGAACCGTGAAGATCCCGGGTAAGAATAGGTCTTCAGCAACCCTGCTTGTCGTGAGAGGCGACTAACGGGATCGGGTGGTCTGACTCGCTGACTTGGTTGATACATGTCATCGTATCCCAATTGCGTAGATCGATGCTCATGATATCAATCACTGGATTGTCTTGTCTAGACTCTTTAGTTACAGACCGCCGTGATGTAGCCGAAATATTGCTGAGTGCGGCGTAAAACATGTATCATGTTGAGATTGTATCTCATAGGCATTATTGTCCGGACGGTGTATCATATTTCGGTGATGCTAATTGTTTTTATTCCAGTGTAACGTGCCGTGTGACACATCAATAGATTTTCTTATCGTATCTCATAATAAAATGGATATTTGATGCCCTAGATAACTGAGGTTGAATAGATTCGTCACTCGACAGCGACTGTTGCATCTCAATACGACTACGCTATCCATGTCCCACTGGGCTTAAACGATCAAGCCAGAAATTGGTTTGTAAATCCTTAAATATATGTATGTATTGATCATGGTTAATGATCGCAGTCACAGATTTATTTTTCTATTTAAGCTTTCTCAATTTCAACCTCTGACTGCGTATGTGTGGTTTATCTGTACACATCAACACACGTTGACGTTACTGGTGCAAGGTACGTGTTTGCTCTCATAATGGAGAAGGTATTATGAAACGTTTGTTCCCGCGACCTTCTGTAAACCTCAATGCATTGAGGAAAAGCAACCACCATAAACGTTTTTATCATTCGGGGTTCCTTTATACACCGTGAATAGATGCGGGACACCTATGTTTGATCTGTGTGTATTGATAATATACGCGTCCGCTTGTTTAAACAGGCTCAGTTCTAAACTAGAACCTGTTGCTCGTGCGACAGTTACATGCCTGGCGATTTTGCCTACCTTGGACGCTAAACAAACAGCCCGAGTGAGGCTCCATCGGGGGAGGCTATACGGCGCATAGGACATTCAAAGAAACCGGACACAGTAAAGGGAGTCAAGGCTCGGGTTAAGTGGTAGTCCTTGCGATTTCAGTTCATGGCGTTGGAAAACCTTTTGTAAGCATGACCAACTCAAACTTTAAGTTGTACATGCGGATCACTCTATGAGTTAATGATTGTCCTAAAGGCAGTGAGACATTGCCTTGGCGTTACACAAATTCGTAAACGTCTGATACCTTTATCACTTAATTTTTTTCGTCCACATCAATTTGACGTACCGTGTGTTCAAAGCGGCGGTAAACACAACTAACTCACTCACTCATCCAGACAACCCATTTGTGGGTTTAGACAGGGTGTAAGACAACCCAGATGTCAGTTCAGACAGGGTGTAAGACAACCCAGATGTCAGTTCACACAGGGTGTAAGACAACCCAGATGTCAGTCTAGACAGGGTGTAAGACAACCCAGATGTCAGTCTAGACAGGGTGTAAGACAACCCATATGCCGGTTCAGACAGGGTGTAAGACAACCCATATGCCGGTTCAGACAGGGTGTAAGACAACCCAGATTTCAGTTCAGACATTGTGTAAGACAACCCAGATTTCAGTTCAGACAGGGTGTAAGACAACCCATATACTGATTCAGACAGGGTGTAAGACAACCAAGATGTCAGTTCAGACAGGGTGTAAGACAACCCAGATGTCAGTTCACACAGGGTGTAAGACAACCCAGATGTCAGTTCAGACATGGTGTAAGACAACCCAGATGCCAGTTCAGACAGGGTGTAACACAACCCAGATGCCAGTTCACACAGGGTGTAACACAACCCAGATGTCAGTTCAGACAGGGTGTAAGACAACCCAGATGTCAGTTCAGACAGGGTGTAAGACAACCCAGATGTCAGTTCAGACATGGTGTAAGACAACCCAGATGTCAGTTCAGACATGGTGTAAGACAACCCAGATGTCAGTTCACACAGGGTGTAAGAGAACCCAGATGTCGGTTCAGACAGGGTGTAAGACTGGGTTTCAAACGTAAATATCGAATTCCCTGTCACGTAACCCACCCATGTTGAGCCTCCCGTATCAAGTGTTCAGTGGAAAACCAGTTAAATAGAATAGAGGAAGTGTATAGTCGGTTCAAATTACATCAACGTGTCATCCTTGCCAGAGATATGTGGAGAAGTAGTCCGTGTGATCAACCTTACCTACTGGCCATAATTTTGACGCTTGTCGACGTGCCCTGAAAACAGATACCTACCCGAGGCTTATAACCATACGGCTGTGTTCAAGAATACACAAACATGGATAATACACACAGTAGACTGTAGCTTGACATATGCAAAAGGGTAAGCAGGTATTGTTTAAATCTTTTTCATGGATCGATTGATTTTCCTACCCTGATTCCTTCAGGAGCCTCAGGAAATTAATCATAAATGCTGTGATAATCTGTTTTGAAATGCATTTTGGGTGTATAGTGCATCTGATAATGGCTCTATTATCACCTGGATAGAGATAGTGTTGGTTGGTGTGCGACAGGGTCGCCGTCTAAGTCCGTGTTACTCTTCGTTATCGGCGCAGTGTAATAGGGCACCTTATCGACATGTCCCTTCTCCGACCTGGAGGGAATATACCTGTGCAAATCTGCTAAACAGTCATGAAGTCCCTATATTCCAAGTTTATTTTGGTTGGTTCACTGTTCATAAGTATTTCACTGGGACTTCAATTCATGTGGTGGAAAAGGGGACATATTCTTATTTATCAGACGGACGTGTCGGCCGATGCGGACATTAAGATTAAGCTGGATACCACAGTCAATGAGTACACGCCAGCACAGATATGTAACAGTTCAGGCGGCGGTTGTGGAGCTCGGTCAACACAATCAAAGGCGGCAGTGAATATGGCGAAGGAAAACGTTTCTAATACGCCGTTTGTTTGGGACACGGGGTCGGGCCACGACAGAATACCCGAACAAATGAAACACATTCCATCCAATATTCTTAATGGAGATACACGTACGCGTGTTATTCTGGTTGACAGCGGGCCGGTGAACTGGAACGTCAAAGATGGCAAACAAACATTTATAGACCACCAATGCCCAGTTCAAAATTGCATACTGGTTGACAAATCTACCACGGAAAAGCGAATAGATGCCATATTGTTCGGGCAGGATATTGGATGGTTACAACCCTACGAGAGCAGATACAGACACCCCGATGCTGTGTGGATATTCTTTGCTCTAGAAAGTCCGATGGCGACAGGAACATTCAATTTTGTCCGGCAGTTAAACTGGACGGCAACATATCGGAGAGATTCTACCATGGTCGCTCCCTATGAGCGATGGTTGCGTTTTGACAATGCATCTAGTATTACCCGCACAAGAAATTATGCGAAAGGTAAATCCAAGATGGCCGCCATATTTGTGTCAAATTGTGGAGCGTCAAACGGACGATTGGAATACGCCAAGGAACTTAAACGATACGTCGAGGTTGACATTTACGGTTTTTGTGGCGACAAACAGTGCGCCAGGAATAATGCTAGAACCTGTTTTGGGATGCTAGACAAAGACTACAAGTTTTACCTTGCATTCGAGAACGCTAACTGTAGGGATTACATAACGGAAAAGTTCTTCGTCAACGGATTAAGGTAAGTGTGAATACAAGTGGCACGTTTTGCGTTTTAATCTGTGAATGGAACTTATATAATCCCAAACAACTTGCCAAGCTAAAGCTGAAGTAGTGAATACTCGGTCGGGAAAGTGATGTGATATATAATCTAAAACAAACATGTCACAAGTAAAACTAGTAAGTGAGTGAATGAGTTGGGTTTAATGCCGCTGTGAACAGTATTCCGGTAAAATCACGGCGTGTCAGCTTAATGTTGGAGGAAAGCCCAAAGTGACAAATCTAGAAACATAAGCATGGCGTGCCCAAGGGAGGTAACTCTGGACAGCGAATGGAGGCGCCTTAGTCGTAATAGTAGCAGCAGTAGTACTAGTAGTAGTAATGGTTAGCAACAAAAAAACAATAATAATAATTATAGTTAAAATATTACTACAACTACATGTCCAAATTCCAAAAAGTAGAAGTAGTAGTAGTAGTAGTAGTAGTAGTAGTTGTAGTAGTAGTAGTAGTAGTAGTAGTAGTAGTAATAGTTATAGTAAAAACAACAACAACTACAACAAAAACAATAATAATAATGATAAACAGTATCGTATGCCCCATGGTGGAGTGGCTCGATCATATTATTACAGTTTTCGCCATGCTTGAGGTTTTGACACATAGGTCCATTCATGGTACGACCTGAATATGCAAAGGGCGTCATGGAAATTGATAAATACAAACTTCTTTGGAATAGGCCCGTATACAGCCTCAGACGTATCCAGGCCAACAAATCTGATCCTGTCCCTTTTGACACAAATGTGATTGACAAGATTGAGGGAAAACATGGCAAATATGCGGACCTCGCTATCGAAATGTCACGCTTGCATCCAAAGTACCAAGTTGTCCGCCTCCCCACTGTTCTCGGTGCCTTAGATATGGTACATGTACCTTCCAATCTGTTGACTGACATTGGGAGAGTACCCAGGTTTTCTACCAGGAATACAGCCTTCTGACAATCTGGGTAATGCAGAAGGCTGCAGTGTTGGTGTGTCTTCAGAATCTGCGAAAAGTTCTGGGTGGGTTTGCCGAGGTAGTGCTTCCTTGGAGAAGTCCCATTCGCTGTCTAGGCTGCGTGTAGAGGGGGCACGAGATCTGAGCTGATGATTGCCCTAACCAGCGTTAAATATTCAGCCTCGAGTAATATCATATATTATACCATTGCGTTTTCGCAAAATGAAGCTGTCATAAACGTATAGTCTTCTTATTTGTTTGGACACGTAGACAAGTGGGATAGCCTTAAGTCTACTCTGACGAAATATTTTATATTATTTTGCAAAATTAAAAATTAAACAGGTCCATAAATAAATTACATACGATATTTTGTATGAAAACCAGGAAAGCATTGTTTCTTAGTAGCATTGGCTCGTTGTAAATGCAAGGGACTAAGTATATCATTTGGACCGATTACATTTGTGGAAAAGCAGTAAGTGATGGTTGGGTGGCAACGATGCCTTCCGGTGATATAGTATAATAGTAAACTCTCAATTCTCAGATGAATCATTTAGGTATAGCTGTTAATTAGATGACTACAGGCCATCATGGTATAGCTGTTAAATAGATAACTACAGGCCATCATGGTATAGCTGTTAAATAGATAACTACAGGCCATCATGGTATAGCTGTTAAATAGATGACTACAGGCTGTCATGGTATAGCTGTTAAATAGATAACTACAGGCCATCATGGTATAGCTGTTAAGTAGATAACTACAGGCTGTCATGGTATAGCTGTTAAATAGATAACTACAGGCCGTCATGGTATAGCTGTTAATTAGATGACTACATGCCATCATGGTATAGCTGTTAAATATCTGACTACACACTGTCATAGTATAGTGGTTAAATAGTCTACTACAAGCCGTCATTGTATAATTGTTACGTAGCTGACTTCAGGCCGTCATACAGGCCGATGCTAATGTCATATACATGAAATGTCGAGTTAAAGAAAGTATACACTGGAAAATTGGAATATACAAAAACACATACAAACGTAATCATGACGTTACAATGCTGAAAAAATGCCTAAGCACTGCAAGCGTAACGCCCCCAACACAACTATGACACCGTATCAAATGCATCACTGTTGAATAGCCTTTTCTCGTTTGATTCATTTTAGTCACAATCAGTTTTGTGTTACTTATGTATCTATGACAAGGGCCTGAGACGCAGTAACTACTGACATCTGGTGACCAGATGCCTGGGTAGATAGGCCTGGTTTATGCCAAGTGTGTTCTAAATAATATCTGATGTTGACATACATGAAACAACTAAGTTGACATAGGCTGATAACGCGAAACTGACTAATCTGGTGTCCCGCGGTCACTAGGCTATTAAGTTTCGTGCAGGGGGCCCAACTTAATCCCCGGCCTCAGTCACTCTAAAGTAATTTGGGCCTTGGCTGAGATTACCTTGGAGTGACTTTGGCCTAGGTTCAGCTAGATTCCCGTAGGCTCAGAGCACTCCACCAACGAAGGCCCGTATGACTCCCTGGGCCCAAATGACCTACTTTACTATTTCAAATGCCCATGTTTGATGGTATGTTCAGGTATGTTTGTGTACAGGTTTATAAATGTATTGGAGGCGTGTGTGGTTGGTGACGTGGGGTGTGCGTGTTGCTTGAATGACACCCGTTCACCCCCACCCCCTAACCCCCACCCCATGTTGCTGCGTCGCTTGCTCTGAACCGCCCTGTACATGAGCTCACGACCTCGAGGATCCGTATCACTGTATATCTGTTTGTCCACTTTATACAAACTTACCAAAAACGAATAGTTTTCACATAAATACTCACATCGAAAATCAATCTACAGACTCTTAAAGACATACTTACCACTTTACGAGGAACTGTTTGTATTTGGATTATTTTAATTGAAACCTGATTATTATGACGGACAGGAGAGATATAACATACATGTGTTTTATATAGGCATACTCAGTTGTATCCTCAGAAAGAAGGATGGGAGAGATATAACATATATGTGTTTTATATAGGCATACACAGTTGTATCCTCAGAAAGAAGGATGGGAGAGATATAACATATATGTGTTTTATATAGGTATACACAGTTGTATCCTCAGAAAGAAGGATGGGAGAGATATAACATATATGTGTTTTATATAGGTATACACAGTTGTATCCTCAGAAAGAAGGATGGGAGAGATATAACATATATGTGTTTTATATAGGCATACACAGTTGTATCCTCTGAAAGAAGGATGGGAGAGATATAACATATATGTGTTTTATATAGGCATACACAGTTGTATCCTCAGAAAGAAGGATGGGAGAGATATAACATATATGTGTTTTATATAGGTATACACAGTTGTATCCTCAGAAAGAAGGATGGGAGAGATATAACATATATGTGTTTTATATAGGTATACACAGTTGTATCCTCAGAAAGAAGGATGGGAGAGATATAACATATATGTGTTTTATATAGGCATACACAGTTGTATCCTCTGAAAGAAGGATGGGAGAGATATAACATATATGTGTTTTATATAGGCATACACAGTTGTATCCTCTGAAAGAAGGATGGGAGAGATATAACATATATGTGTTTTATATAGGCATACACAGTTGTATCCTCTGAAAGAAGGATGGGAGAGATATAACATATATGTGTTTTATATAGGCATACACAGTTGTATCCTCTGAAAGAAGGATGGGAGAGATATAACATATATGTGTTTTATATAGGCATACACAGTTGTATCCTCAGAAAGAAGGATGGGAGAGATATAAGATATATGTGTTTTATATAGGCATACACAGTTGTATCCTCTGAAAGAAGGATGGGAGAGATATAACATATATGTGTTTTATATAGGCATACACAGTTGTATCCTCAGAAAGAAGGACAGGAGAGATATAACATATATGTGTTTTATATAGGTATACACAGTTGTATCCTCTGAAAGAAGGATGGGAGAGATATAACATATATGTGTTTTATATAGGTATACACAGTTGTATCCTCAGAAAGAAGGATGGGAGAGATATAACATATATGTGTTTTATATAGGCATACACAGTTGTATCCTCAGAAAGAAGGACAGGAGAGATATAACATATATGTGTTTTATATAGGCATACACAGTTGTATCCTCTGAAAGAAGGATGGGAGAGATATAACATATATGTGTTTTATATAGGTATACACAGTTGTATCCTCAGAAAGAAGGATGGGAGAGATATAACATATATGTGTTTTATATAGGTATACACAGTTGTATCCTCTGAAAGAAGGATGGGAGAGATATAACATATATGTGTTTTATATAGGCATACACAGTTGTATCCTCTGAAAGAAGGATGGGAGAGATATAACATATATGTGTTTTATATAGGCATACACAGTTGTATCCTCTGAAAGAAGGATGGGAGAGATATAACATATATGTGTTTTATATAGGCATACACAGTTGTATCCTCTGAAAGAAGGATGGGAGAGATATAACATATATGTGTTTTATATAGGTATACACAGTTGTATCCTCAGAAAGAAGGATGGGAGAGATATAACATATATGTGTTTTATATAGGCATACACAGTTGTATCCTCAGAAAGAAGGATGGGAGAGATATAACATATATGTGTTTTATATAGGCATACACAGTTGTATCCTCAGAAAGAAGGATGGGAGAGATATAACATATATGTGTTTTATATAGGCATACACAGTTGTATCCTCAGAAAGAAGGATGGGAGAGATATAACATATATGTGTTTTATATAGGCATACACAGTTGTATCCTCTGAAAGAAGGATGGGAGAGATATAAGATATATGTGTTTTATATAGGCATACACAGTTGTATCCTCAGAAAGAAGGATGGGAGAGATATAACATATATGTGTTTTATATAGGCATACACAGTTGTATCCTCTGAAAGAAGGATGGGAGAGATATAACATATATGTGTTTTATATAGGCATACACAGTTGTATCCTCTGAAAGAAGGATGGGAGAGATAT